AAGCAAAGAAGTTTCAAAGTATGAGATCTTGTCCTAAAGAAACTCCTCCTGGCTGGGAAGCTAGGTCCCAATTGGGAAGGTCCGTAAATAGTCACAAGGATAGTCAAGCCAAGGAATTACGAGTTGCAAACTGAAGAAGGGTAGGTTCGACCTCACTCATGGAATTTAGACCACTCGAACAGATTCTTACAATAGGAAAGACGAGCTGTAAAATGAAAAAGAGGAATTTCTTGTAAAAATCTTTTGCAATGAATAAAAGTTTCAGTTCATTCCCATGAAGAATGCGTTGAGTCGCAGATGAGTTGTCTAACTCATCAAAAAACGATGAGCTCTTTAGCTCATAAAATAAATGATGAGCTCCCCAACTCATAAAATAAACGATGAACCCTTCGGTTCATAAATAAAAAATGAGTTCTTCAACTCATAAAAAGAGTTTTGCAAGCTCTGAAAGGATGCACAACTTCAAACTTATAAACAAATAGTTCTAAAGTAAGCTACTTCCAGAAGATCAAAGCCCTTCTTAAAGCAGGGGCAAGGAATGAAATATATCTCCGCACATACACATCAAGTATAAAAAAAAATGAAGAGCTACTTAGACAGGATTTTTTCAAATCAAACTTTTATTCAAAAGGGAAAAATTACCTGAGTTAGAACTTAGAAAATTACAAAAACTTAAAAGAGAAAAAGACAGAAAGGTTAAGCATCTGCTACAGGATTAGTGGCTTCTTCAGCGCCTTTGGACAGTAGGGGGTCAACAACACTTACCTCACCCTCTGGAAGAGAAGGAACCAACTTTAACTGTACCTCAAACAAAGAAATGACTAGGACAAATTGTTCCTCAGACAAAGCAAGGGTAGAGGTCTCCACCTCGCCAGAAGAGGCCACTGGCAGAGCGTGCTCATAAGTCTCCATCTCCCCAGAAGCAACTGCGAGGACCACCTCAGAAATAGCCGTCAACAAAATGGGCTCAGACGTCTCCACCTCAGCTATAGTCATCGGCTCTCCCTCAACTCTCTCTTTAGCAGAGAATTCTGCTTCTTCCTTTTCAAGGGGAGGCTCGAAGTCGAAGTCCTGCTCTGGGTACTTCTTCATAACTTGCATCTGGAAGGCGAAATAGCCCTTGGCCCATGCAGTGGCGCACTCATCTTTCAGGTCGACGATGGTAGAGTCCCTCTCAGTAACCTTAGTCCTCTCATTATCGATCTCCTCAACAACCTTTGATCATCTCGGATAACGAAACAAATCTCACCGTTGGATTCGTCTCGCGAAATCTAATTATCATATCAATTTTTGTTGAATTTTGAGACAATCAATTTTTTTGCATTTTACCAGGCGATCGATTGTCGCGTGACTAAAATAAACGAAACCAAAAATTAAATTATAAAAAGTGAAAAATAATTTAAAACTAGTTCAAATAAAAATATTTTGAACTTAAATCGGAATAAAATTTAATTATTTTGAAACAAAATCAGACCCAGGAATGGAGGAAATCGGACGAAATTGGACCCCCCTGAGTTGCACGATTACATGCAAAATGTGTGTTAGATATAGCAAACGGGGCTAAATTCTCCCTCAAGTACAAGACCCGGTTACTGGTTTATACACTTTCACTGATAAAAGTCTAAAAAAGTGTATCGGTGTGCGGAACCGATAGTGAAACACCAAAATTCCGCTATCCAACAAAGACACGTTTATTTTTAAAAGGTCATTAGATGTGCAACATCAATGGTGATGGCTTGAAATGCCTAGTTTCATACTCATGATATTGCGTGTGTTTGGGAGCTGGCAAAGGCTCGGATAAAGTTGTATGTGTGAGTCTCACTTCATATCATGGCATGACATAGAGGATTCTATTGTTGAATTGCATATTTTTTAATACAGTGATTGTTGCTTGTGAATTGCATGTGAACATTTCAAATGCATCTAGGTTGAAAAATAGCCTCTTTAGGAGATACCCTATTAAACTTAGCTCGCCCTTTGTGGGAAAAATATTTTAGGTGCGGCACATACGCCAGTTGATGGCTCTCAATCGTGCCTTTATTATTGAAGAAAAACCGAGATATGACTTTTAAATCATGTTTTGTAAAAACTATTATGTTATTTAGTTTTGAACATGTAATTGTATGTAAAGAATTGTAAAAGAACTCATATGAATTGTATTTTGTTTAAAATAGATGTTATACGAGTTTGGGTTGATGTTGCATATGGTTGGAATGGATTGGAATTGAAAAAGGATGGAATCAGAGGAAACTGGAAAAATCTACTGGTAGAACGATAAGTCCTTCTACCGGTAGAACTTTTTCAGTAGGCTTGTCCTACCAATAGAAAGATGAAAAACCTACCGATAGAACATTTCCAAAAGGTTTTTCTACCGGTAGAATATGGACATCTTCTACCAGTAGGTTTTCTTCAAATTTCAAAACTTCTATACTTCTGGTCCTTGAATCATTTTACTTCATGGGGGTAAATGGTATTATATTAATAGTAAATTAATGTATATTGGACCTCGAATAGGTCATGTGATTGAAATGTGCACAGGTCATGCGTTTGGGAGTGCCCGATACAAAAAAAAGACTCTATCCAAAATGTGTTGTTTGTAATCCCGTTAAAAAAGGGATGTACCATGGTGTCGGGTTATGTGACATTCACAGGTATTTCTACGGGTTAATGAGTGATTAATAGATTGACAAAGGACCCCCAATTTTAGGAGCGTCACACATTGAGCTCATTCAAATCATCCTTCACGACCTGGGTTGCCTCCTGAGCCGCCAATATATCTTTTTTCGCCTAAACGAGGCCATTTGTTTTGAGCTTGACCTCAATCTCAAGCCTTTTGTTAGAAGAGCTCAGGTCTTGCACCTGAGCCTTGAGGTCATCATTTGCAAAAGCTAGCTCGGTGACCTTGAGCTCAAACCCTGCGTACCAAGTAGGGGTAGCAGTGGACCGGAAAAAAATGGGTATTTGTCCAAACCCTCCCCATTTAGATTAGAGATGGACTATACGTATTGAACGGTAGACGTATACAGGAATACCTGTATAAACCCGTACGGGGATGAAGGTGGGGATGGACTTATCCTTACCCTCGCCCTGCCCCGCCCCCGTCCCGTCCCCGTTATATATATATACCCAGTTAAAAAACCCTAGGGCCCCTAACTTCTCTTCTTCTATCAACACCAGCCCCCCTCTCTGGACACACCGACACACATGATAGTCCTCTTCGAGACTCTCACCTCTCGCCTCTCTCTACTTCTCTCTGTCGATTGATCCTTTCTCGCTCTCTCATCTTCGAAGCCACAAGCATCCCAAGTTCTCTCTCTCTCTCCTCTCTGACTCTCTGTATGACAGTCTCTGAGTATTGATCCAACCATTCCTCTTACAACTTCAGAGTGGGAGGTCATATCTTTCACTCTCTGAAAATTACAACTCCTAAACCTTATTTCATGTCAAACAGATAGAACTTAGATGATAGAATATTGGCTGGAAATTTGGTCCTTTACTTGGAAGGTTTTTCACCATCTAAAGTAGAAAAAAAATTTAACCCCTTAAAAAATTAAAAGAATCTCACTACCTAGAACTTAAGTATAAAGGATTTAATCCATCTTTTACCCAAGAGCAAAATTGGTGGATCTGGCCAAAATAAGTCAAACCTTAGTACTTAAAAAAATATATTTTTGACTAGTATTGTTAGGAGAAAATTATACTATTTTTTGATTGAGGTTTTTGTTTATTGTATTTGCTTTTTGTTGATTTGAGTTTTGGTTCATAAATTTGGGTCCTCCTAAAGATACAATTCCGGCTCCGTACCTATAGGTAGGCATCAATCCCGTCTGTAGCTGTGTAGCATGCTTAATTTTGATGTAGATTTCTTGTCCAATTTTTTGTATTTTGTTACTATTTTGAATGAATAGTTCTGTTTCTTATCAAAATCCTTTCTATAGGTTGCTTTGGCTGGAATATCATATTCACTAATACAGAGACTAGGTGCAACAACAGTAAGGAGACACTTTCTTAATATGTAGAATTCCCAGGAAGAAATTGGAAGTTTTAGAGTTAATCATTGATACACAAACCTCATTTTATGTGGATTATTTTTTCAGCGTAATGGGGCAAAGCTTTTTAGAGTTAGCACTGCTTCATCTCTGGTAATTGCCTTTTTTTTCCCCTAGTTGATGTGGAAGTCTAATGCATCAAGTATTTTGTTGTCTATCATTGCTTTAAAATTTTGTGTCATCTTGTAAACTTGTTGCTGTGTTTCTGACTATGTTTTTTGGTCTTGTTCTTTTCTTGTTGCTGCTTTGACTTTGAGAGAATTATTAACTGTGCAAGATTGTTGCATTATTTGTTTATCCTACTAATCCCAACTCCCATGCAAGGATCAAAATATCGTTTCAAAGTACCGTTTCGGTCAGCTCAAAAACAGAAACATTTCAGAAACGTAGAAAAAATATGAAAACACGTGAAAACACAAATATAATCCATTTATTTATAAAGATAAGTTTAATAATTGATTAATTCAACATATTTATTGGGTTAAAATCCATTTATATAAGAATAAATTTAAATTTGAAAAAAAAAAGGATTGACACGAGACAGAAATCACTTAAATATGACATGTATAACACTTTTAAATTAAAATATTATCTAATTAATAATATTATTTTATTATAATACTAATTTAGTAATTAATAATAAATCAATTTAACAAATAATAATAACATAAAAGAATAATTATAAAAAGGAAAAAAAAATAATGAAGGATATTAAATAAAATTAATGGTACTTATGTGTGCTTAAAAACTAAAAGTTATAATGTAGTGGGGTATTAAATATAATTTTTCATAGTTATAAAAAAAAAAAAATACAAAAGCCAAAGTGTCAGTCGGGTCTCTCTGTCACCCACGAACACAGAGACCGAGAGAAGAGAGGTGATGGCGATGGCGATCGACGATGCGATGCCGACACCGGTGCCAGAGAGAGAGAGAGAGGAAGAAGAAAAAGGTACCTAGTAGCTCATGGCTCGTGGGTTGCAGCTCGCAGCGATGAAGACCCAAGTCCCAAACCCTAGATCTGCGTGGATGGGGGCTAGGTCTGCTCAAATCTAGACTCAAAGAGGTAAGCTATTGAACTCTTTTCCTTCAATTTTTGTTATATAGTCTGTATCTGTGTTTTTCTCTCTTTCTTCGATTTCGTCTGGGTGTGTATTTCTTTCTCTTCTCTCTGGTTTTTTTTTTGCTTGGAAGATCTAGACCTGTGTACATGTGATTTCTGAAAAAATCTGAAACTTTTGTGTATAGTCTATATCTGTGTCAAATGTTTTGTCGAAACGGTACTGTTTAGACTGAAACGGTCCGACACAGTAACGTTTCGACCGAAAACTTTGAAATTTTGGGATGCAAGCTATGTTTCTTTTCGGTGTGTTGAAAATTCGAAATGTTTCAGACGTTTCGGACGAATCAACACGGCATTTTGATCCTTGCTCCCATGCAATCTTTGTTGGAGAATTGTCATGGCTGACCTTCTTCAGCATGCTATGGTTTTCTGTTACCATCTCAGGTGGTTTTCATTTTTCACCAGTATTCAGAACTTTATGTTGCATTTTTTCACCTAGATTATGTTGGCTTGAATTTGGACTTAAGCTTAGGCTTGGGCTTGGATTTATACTTATGCTTGGGCTTGGGCTTGGGCTTGGGTACGGGGGAAGCGGGAACAAAGATTATAAATTTATCCGCAGACGGAGATGGGGATAAAAATTATACCCATTTCGTTAACCGGGGATGAACGAAAGTTTTTTAAGCGGGTACAGGTATGAAGACTATACCCCCCTGCCCACGCTTCGGTCTATTGACATTCCTACTACCAAGGCTCCAACATGGATCGCCATCTGCAAGGAACGACAAAAATCAAAGCAAAGTTAGAGAACAACAAGCAAGTCTGAGCTCAGCAAATAAATGTCAATTAAAGGGAAATAACAAGAATTTACTGAGGTCACCCCAAACAAGGAGCAAAGGAGGAGAGAGGCAACGAAGAGGTCTCCCGACTGTCAGCCTCCGGACTGATTGAGACTGAGCTCAACAAATAAATGTCAATTAAAGGGAAAATACAAGAACTTACTGAGGTCACCCCAAACAAGGAGCAGAAGAGGAGAGGGGCATCAAAGAGGTCTCCCGAATGTCAGCCTTGGGAATGAATGAGAGGAGGACATTGGCAGCCATGTTCACGTCTCTAATAAGGGAACGTCCGCCCTTGGCCACCCTAGCTGAGGAGCTCCCCCGTTCATCGAGAGGCGATTTAGAAGATGCCCCTTCAAAGGACTTCAACGGGGGAAGATCCCGAAGAGACGGAGCTATTGATTTTAGAGCCCCAACCACCACCCTCGCGCGTGGGAAGGGTCTTGACAACCCCTACAGGAGATTTCTCTAGCTCTAGAAAGGGGCAGGATGAGCCTTCCTAGGAGAGTCCTTCTGTGAAACCTTCTGGGGACATTTCAGGTCGTCGTACAAACCGACCTCAATCTTCATCTTCCCAACAACTTTAGACACCCGAGCGTCTTCCCTCATCTTGGCCACCTTGGCCTTTATGACATCAACATCAGGTGTCATCGCATCATAACCTGAAAGGAAAAAAGGGAGGTCAGCCGAGGGTCCAACAATGCAAAAATAAATTGAAGGCACGAAAATAAATAGGGAGCTTACCAATGATATCCTCTTCTCTGAGAGTAAATAGAGGTACGACAACCTCACCTCTCACCTTCGGGGGTCCAAAGTCTTGCTTTGCAAGGGATGAGGGTGTAATAAGCCCGGAATACTTCCCGGGTTCACCCACCTCGAGGTCTTTGAGGAAGAGCCTCTCGTCAGCGTCAAGTTCGGGACGAATACCTGAAATGATAAAAGAGGAGATCAACAATTGAAGGAGACAATAAGGACAAGCTCAAACTAAACCACCTCGACAAGGACTTACCCAAATTATCTGGCCTGACCAAGCTTAAGGTATAGGAAGCGTGTCAAAGGCGTTCCTCGGGTTAAACTCCCACTCCTTGCTAGATGCGAAGTGATTTTTTCAACCTTTGTGGGAGCTCGAGAGGTTAGTGATTAGATGTTGGGTCTTCACCCGTTTCAAAATGTAAAGGAAGCCATTGACTGAGGAGAAATTAACATTGAAAAAATGTATTAACTAGGGAACCAAAGGAGGGATGGCCAACCCGTTCTTCTTGGAGAAGACCAAGAGGCCTACAAGGATACCCCAGAAGTTGGGAGAAAGTTGGGTTAGGGAGACATTAAAATGCTGAAGAATAGATTTCAGAAAATGATGAATAGAGAACCTGAGGCCGGTCTCAAGAAAAGGAAAGAAGAAACAAGTCTTCTCAAAGAGCATGGTGTCATATCAGATGTCCACACTAAGACTCTAGACACGCATGCCCCGAGGAAAGCCAAATATAGCATTAAGAGCACCCAAAAGAGGAAGGGTGACTTTGCTGGGCTCCGAGATATCTGAGGCGCTTGGATTGACCTCGACATCCCCAGCACTACTGGAGTTCTCAACTACACCCTTCCTAAATCTTCTCTTTTGAGATTTCTTGGGTCACATAGCTGGGCCAAGGAGTAGGGGAGCTTTAACCCTAGTAGCCTGGGCATCGAGGACATCAATCCTGAGAAAATAGTATATCTCCTCTCCCACATCCCTTAGATCCTCGACTTTGTTAGGGTCCTCGGTCCACCTTCTACGGCGAGATCGAACCTCGAATTCGAGAGATCTGTCAGTCATGACAAGAGAGACAAAAAAACCAGTAGATAAAAAGAAAAAGACATGATGGCACAAAAAAAAAATGACCAAAAGACACGTAAAGAGAATTAAAGTTCAAGAAACAGTCCACAAGAGCTTAAGGGTCAAGACTCCAGCGGCCAAAGAGAAAGACCTTAACAATAGCATAGGGATCCAAGAAAAGAAGAAGAAAAAACAAGATCGACCTTCACTCCTAAAATAACAAAAGCGGAAGGTCCATAAGTAGAATAATCACCTCAAATTTGTAGGATCCAGGATTAAACAAAAACCCTAGGAGAGAGAAGAAAGAAGAAAGAAGAAGGGAGCTAGTCAGAAGGCGTACCTAGAAATTGAGGATGATCAACGGTCGAAAACCCAACAAGTACACCAAGAAGACCTTTTGAACGTTCTGAGCACTAACAGAGTCAGCCTAGCAGAGAGAGAGAGAAGAGGGCTTCTAGGTAAAGGCGCCGAAAAATTCAAAATAATGACAAAGGCAATTTAACCTGTGAAGACATTTAAAATAACATGGCGCACAGAAGCTAAATATGCACGATAAACAAGGTAGAAATGACTCATTACACGTATGCAACGTCAAAAATACTAGAAACGTCCCATCATGCAACTCTTGAGAGCAAACCGAGCTCAACTTGTCTATAATAGCGCAGATCAGCCCCAATCCACGTCAGACAAGGCTTGTCTGGCTATGGACTGGGGGACAACTGATGATACCTAAAAATTAGCTAAAGTTGAGCTCAGTTCATTCAACTCGGACACCTAAGCACGGACTCTACAGCTCATGCTCACTAGTTCAGCGAGCACAAGTTGGAAATCTTCAACTACGAGACCCTCGTACGTACAATGACAACAACAACTGACATCTTTCAAAAGGCCACGTCACACCTAGAAAATGTAACTCGTAACGGTCTAATATTCTAGAAGATAAGTCGCAACTGCCTCAACACTATCAACGCCGATTACGCAAAGGGAGCGTCGGTTACAAGAAGGTAACAAGGATCACGCAAGGCATCCAAAAACTATAAAAAGAGATCAAATCTCTCACAATGTATTCAAGCAATTATCTGCACAATTATTTTGTGTAATCTTCTCCCCCGATTAATAAAAAACTCCCACAGGAGCAAGAAACTCTATTAGAGTGGACTAGTCAAACTTTCGAACGGGTAAACCACTATAGATCTTTTGTCTATTGCTCTTTAAGTTACGCTGCCTAACCCCAAGAGCCTATAAGCTCTGACTGAACATTCCGGTAATTCTCAATACCCTACACAATCCGCCTCTGCTCAGCTGTGCAGCACACACCATCAAATACCACATGAAAACGAAACTAACAAGGGGTTTCATTCATCATTTCTGATACATTATGAAACAGACGACAAAACTTACAGGTTCTTATTATTATTATCATTATTTTTTTTGGTCTGGGACTATGCAGATTCAATGTGGTGAAGAATTGGTGAAACCAAAGGTGAAAAGAAAAAATCGGTGATAATAGAAGGGGATATACCCAAATCAATTGAAACGATCCTATAGATTGGGTTACCACATGCATTCAACGACACAGTCACGTTTTTCCCAGACTAGGAAATTAGCATCATAGTCTCACCATCCTAATCACCTAAACTAAACAAAATCGCAGTATAGTTTGCTAACCTGAGCTCAATTAAGCATGGGTATCATCATCATCGACATCCTTGCCGAGATCCTTAGAAATATAAAGCCCGGGCTGGACCGCGCGCCGGCGAGTCCTCGACGGAAGAATGTTATCCAAATCAACCTCCGCAAGTGGATCATCAGAGAGATCACTGTCGCAATCAGATTCACTCAAGTCGTCCGATTCTTCTATGAATTTCCCTTTACCTTTGTTGTCAACTAAAATCCCCTTACCCTTGCTATCGATTTTAGCTTTTCCGTTCGAATGTTCATCATCATCATCTTCGTCGTCGTCGTCGTCTTCGCTTTCGTAGTCCGCTTCGTCGTCGTCGTGCTCGTCTTCTTCGTCGACTTCATCGAATTTTTCCTCTTGTGGAATTGAAGGGTTGTTGTCCGTACAATAATTAGGTTTTTGCTTTTTGTTTGGATCGCTTTCAGCGGCGTGGGCAAGAGCAATGTCTTTGTCTACGAAGGTGAGATCGGGCTTTCGCTTCGAATTCGAGAACAATGCATGTTCTTCTTCGTCCTTCAAGTCTGCCATCTGTAACTTTCTTCAAACACTGGCCGATATGGGTTTTAAGGGCAGCAGCCTCGGCCTCAGCCTCAGCCTCAGCTAATTAAAGCATAGTTTTAAAACTCGGCCGGACATGAATCCGGAAGCGGGACCGGGTCAATGTGCTCCTGATTGGTTGAACCGGTAATATAATTAAAAAATTAAAAAAAATTAATAATAATAATAAATAGGCTAAAAATTTACAATAATTGTAAAAATAACATGCTTAATGTATATTTGATGAAACAAAAGCCCCAAAATTATCAAACATGAATTCATTTTTTTCTCTATTGTTTTAGTTTTTTAGTATTTAATTTATTTGTGGTGGAGGGATTACAAATCATTCTTAATTATGGAAAAATATGAGAAACACACATAAACAGTTATTGAATTGAACTCACATCAACGTATGACCTAAACTTCAAAGCAAAACTTTGCAGCAAACTAAAAATGAAAATTCATCACACATAATAATTGAGGATTTACCAATTATAATAGATCTATCAATCTAGAGCATGCAGCCATTATCAGTGAACTATTAAATCCTTAAACTAGAGCATCCCCAAAAACCCACAAACGCAAAGTACTTCAGACTACAGAGAGAGAGGAGAGGATGTACCTGCTATGTTGTGTGTTATTTCACACTTGAGGGATGCTAGGAAATGGAAATCGGCGATGGAGCTCTGGCAAGTGAATCCCTCCTACCTCGACTTCGACACAGTGTAAAGAAGAGAGAGAGATAGAGACTGAAAAAGAGAAAAAGAGGGAGAAGCAAAGAGAGAGAGAAAAGGGACTGAGAACTAGATTGACGAACAATTACAAGAACAACAAACATAAGGCAATAAATCCAACAAATATTCGTAACCCACAAAAAAAAAATGTCAACCCACAAATATATACTGAGAGAAAGAGAGAGAGAATAGAGTTAGTAGACAATAGGGAGAGGGAGAAGGGGGGAGGGAACTCACCTCGTCACTGGTGGAGGCTGTGCTCAGTCGCTGGTGGAGCTTTGCTCAACCGTTGCTGCCTGGTGGTCTGCTTGCTGCTAGTGCTAGAGTGGAGGCTGGTCTGGTCGTTGGTTGGTGGTGGAGGCATTGCGAGGTTGGTCTAGTAGCTGGTTGGTGGTGGAGGCGTTGCGAGGTTGCTCGTCTGGTGGAAGTGGAACGATTTAGGACAAAACGAAAAGGGGAAAAATGCCCAAATAAAAAAAAATCTCAGATTTATAGGAACGAAGTTAAATCGGCTAGTTTGTTATACTCGTCCGATTTTCATGGGTTTACCGATTTTTGATCGGTTCAACGGGTTTAGTCTGGGTTCCTTACAGAAACGGTCTTTTAATTGATCCGGACCGGTTAGGGGGCCGGTTCACCGGATTGACCCACCAGCCGAACCGGGTTTTAAAACACTGAATTAAAGACGAGAGAAGAAAGAATCATTGGCCTTGAGTTTAACAGAGCCTCTTGACCTTTTCGTTACCCACTCCCTCCCCCCTGCGGCTCTTGTTGTTTTTTTGGGTGGGGGTTTATCTTTATCCTTTGTGAACACGACGAAAACTTGTGGGTGACTTACATAAATCCTGTTTTATTAATAAAATATTCTCATTTCTTTGGTTAAACCATGTATAACCGTATTTCTTCTATTATACAAAAAAAAAATTCATTTCAATTCACTCAATTCTTGAAAATGCATTATTCCTACAGCTACAATTCTTGCCCAATATACTAGGACACATATAGATGGACAAAAAATTCAGATAAAAGAAGATTGAGCCCAAGTCCAAAGTTGAAATAAAATTCTTCAATTTTTGAGTTGCTATAAACAAAAGATTATACTAGTTTCAACAACTTTAAATGTGAAATTTTACTTAGAAGGGAAGATTGAGGGCATATTTGATCTGTATCTTTAAAAATAGTATTTAAAAATAATTTTTTAAAAAGAGTTTTAAGAATTTGTTTTTTAATTTTTTTACATTACAAAATCTTTTTGGTTATATGATTTTGAAAATAGTTTTAAAGGAGAAAAAATAATAAAACTTGTTTGGACAATGATATACAAACTAAATTTTAAATTATCACTTCATACCAAAAAAAAAAAAAATTATCACTACAAAATTCTTACATCTCCAATCAAGCTCACGTCTAGAACATTCTGTGTATGTGTGTCTCTCTCCCTCTATCTGTCTCTTTCTCCATTATCTTCTCCAACAATAAAAATATACACACACACACATACAACAAACACACATAGCCATCGGGCACGCGCACACGCACACACTAGCACAATACATATATATACACACACACATAGATCTATGCATATATACAGATTTGTACACAGATCTATACACATATAGATCTGCTGCAAAGAGAGAAGAAATGGATTGCGTGTGAGAGAGAGGGGAAATGGGTTGCATGAGAGAGAGAAGGCTACAGTGAGAGTGATGGAGAAGAAGAGAAAGCTCAATGAAGCTCAATTACAGTTACAATTTGTTTGTCTCCAACAAAACTCGAATGAGAGACTTTATTAATTTGGAGATGAGTTTATTCCTGCGTTTTCATTTTTTCTTAGAAAATAGTTAGAACAATAAAATATTGTTCTCTAAAATCTCATTTAAATTTCTAGAATTTTCAAAAAATTGGAGAACAAAAAAACTAATCAAACAACATCTCTCTTGTTTTTAGAGATTTGAGAATAAAAAATTATTTTGTAAATACAAACCAAACAGGCCTGAGTTGTCCACATGTGTAATGTAAGCAACTAATGGTATGTCATAGTCAATTCATATTTTGCATGATTTATATAGATACTGGTCAAATAACAAGAGCCAAATGTATGTACTTAAAATTACGGATGCGATCTTTACTCATAACCATCTTTTTTCCTTTTTCTCATCTATGGTATTAATTTCACTTTGCGGAAAACCCAATTTTTTTATTCTTTGAATCTGTTTAGTTTAATTTGTTGACACACTTGGCTTACGACATGAAGACTATATCGTGCTAAATGAAGATTATCAAAACCAAAATGATGTATCCATCTGGTTCTGCGTCTCTTTAGTTTCGGAAAGTTCTCTCTCATTGGTTGACACAAATGAGAGAATCGTGTTCTTTAAAACCGTACCCAATTCCCTCATTATTATATTAATCATGGGCTCAACTGTCGGTAGCAATATGCATGATTGTATTGTATGCAATTGCAAAGTCGGAATGTAAATGACGTTAATAGAACTTCCACAAGTCTCCAATTCAAATTGCATCATATCTATAATATAAAACAAGATATACTTTAATAAACTTGTCCGATGATCTCAAATAGATTTATCAAATGATCACTAACATCTCTCTCAAAATCATTCACATTGTACCGTGTTTGAAGACATGGGTTAACCATAGTCTATGTTAAGAGACAACTAACTCGTACTAAGATACTCACTTGCTCATATATCAACTGAGTAGCAAGCATAGAATTCTTATATGACCCATGCACACTGGATTCGTTCTAAAACCGTGCCACAAATAAGCTTTTGGCAGTGGATCTGCGCCGGTACTTACATGGTAGACATCCCTTCACGGGGCTGAAAGACATTCAGAGGCTGACACTCTACCCTTTCTTGTAGACATTCCAGCCAATTGCATATCAAATCCCTGGGAAGCTTATCACACGTACTTGGATAAATAAAGCAAAGCATGGCACCTGCAAACTTAATCTCTGGCATCTGCTGGTAAAGCCAACATACAGAAATACAGTTGCAAGACATGGCAGATTGTGCATGCTACCAGAAAAGAATATGCAAACTTGCATAAAGCTCGAAACCCAAATAAATTGCAAAGCTCAAAGATGCAGGCTGCAGTAACAAGAATGAAGATATGACAGAAGAAAACTGGCATAACGCCTGTTCCTTCCCTTAGCTCAAAGAATAGCATACAGCGATTGTATCTATGGGGCAGAGCTAAATACCACCCTCAGTTGGTCCATTATTTCTAGGGCTTTCTAGCTGGGGAAAAAACATGATCCTAGCATCAAAATGAGAATTAATTTCTACTCTAACCAAAACCTTTTTAAGGGTTCGATGGATGAAGGTCCAAACAACCCTACCATTCATCAAAAACTAATCAAACATAAAAAGGGACACAATCTTTGAAAGCAAAAAGATATACTCTTCAGTTCAACAACTAAAACGCCAATCAAGCAGCATCAGCTACCCTATGCTTATTGATCCTCTGACGAGGTATTGTCTCAGGGTTCTGCAAACGAAGAATTGTTTCAGATGGTTCTACACCTTTGCAAGCCCAGTAGAAGTAGGGGCTGGGGCAGCAGCAGGAGCAACACCACCAGTGGTCGGCCTGGACATCATATAAATCCCCATCAGATATTACCAAGTTAGCTGCCCAGCCAAAAAGGGCATGCACATTCTATAGACATGCAGGAGTGGGGATGTCGCATCATAGTTCTCATCAAATGCATAGGAAGAGAAACTTACAGCCCAACGAAAACTTTAAAAGCATCATAGATTCCCCACTGCGCTCCTGTAAGAGTTCCAATCATGACAATACGAAGGGGAAGACCCCGGGTAAAGAGACCCAATAGCCCAATCTTCTTCACAGCCTGTACAGACAATAAATAAAGGGATAAAAAGGCAAAACGAGGCACATGAGTTGAAGGAAATATGAGGCTTCATTAAGCAATGCTAAAATTGAGTACTAACATCGCCAACAGTAGCTCCCTTAGCATTGTTGAGGAAAGAGACAAGATTGTCAGCAGGATGAGACACAATAGCACACAAAACACCAGCCACATATCCACCAGCAAAGCTCACACCAAGTTGCAGAGTTTTACTGCACTCGTTTTTGGGCGCAGGAATGGCATGCTTGTAGATTAGTTCCACAATGGTCTCAAAAGATGCAAACTTCATCATTGTATCTGCAAAAAAACCATTTTTTTTCCATTAAGGTCCAAGCAACTGCTAGTACAGATGTGGCAAGGAGTTACACATGCACAGAATATAAACAAGAACCATAGATGTGAAAAGCATACAATATTTCATATATAATCTTTTCAAACCATCTTAGCAATTTCCACTTTTCCAGTACATAGTTGAGAAGTTGCTCCAAGTAAACTTATCCAAAGTCACAAAAGCCATCATTTTGGATATAATGCATTCTCATCTGACAAATATACAAGTCCAGGACTTCGCCAATTTCTATATTAAATTTACCCACGGTCAATTCCTAATCTTCACAAAAGATGGAATGACAGACTAAGAAGTATGGTCAGTCTCATCCAGCCACAAACACCAATTTAGGCCTGGCATCTGCAACTGAACATGCTTAGAACAAGAACGTAATTAATTTAAGGTTGAACAGGCGCTGAAGCCAGTCTATAACACTTTGCTGCCTTACCAGGGATTGTTAACTTGTTTCTGAAGGGAATAAGTCATGGGACAGATATAATTATTACTTTGTTTCTTTCTAAATAGAGTCTAGGAATGCATAAAAGTGCCACTTAAGTCAGAAACAAATAAAACCAAATCCTCAATGAGTAGAGGAAAAAAAACCCTCAAAACAAACTATAAAAACAAATCAGCTATCTGAATGACTGCCATGTGGGTATAAGGACAAAGCAAGCCATTGACCTTCAAACATCAGTTGCGACTAGTGTATTAATTCTGAAGCATTGCACCAGAAAGAAGAAGAAGAAAAAGTAGTAGAAGAAGTTGACATAGTAACCCTATTTGAGGCCATTATCTAACAAATGGGAAATGATACATGCCCACAATCCCAACACCACCAGAAGTCAATAAACAGAGAGAACAAATACATTTCTATTAAAGAAGATGACTATATTGCCTTTAGATGTTCACTTCACAACAAAATCACCAAGATTCCAAAGAATAATTTATTTATGAATGTTGCAATTCATGACTAATTATCGCAAAAAGTGTTCCAACCAATGTTGCTGCAATTACTGGGCCGATTAGTAGATATATTAAAATATATCACAAGAGATTCCCAAAAATAATAACAGTTGATGCAGAAAAATTTTTATACTGAAAAAAGATGCAATTAGCATAACCTCAATAAGCACAATGGGACCGGAAATAAAATGCAAAAAAGGCAAACATTACCCCACAGTAATCACATTAGAATACAAGAACAAAGGCGTACAACTTAAATGTGTTTGGACAAGAATGCTCCCTCGATATGATAGTTCTAGGGAAAAATAAAGATGGAAGAAAATAAGTTTGCAATATCTCAACTTTACCTTCCAGAAATCATGGTAAAATTTTGGCTACGAAGCAAAAAATTTTACATCAGCTCCTGCAATATTTTTCTTATTGAAAACAAGAATGTGGTTTGAAGCTCTATATGTTTGACACAACTAGTGGAAAACCAACAGTATAGATAGACAGCAAACCAAGATGTTCATAATCGACAATCAATTTAATTCTATTCCAGAAAGAACATAGTCAGAATAAAAGCTCTCAAATGATAGAAGAATTTAAACAAAATCTATGCCCCAACTTACATGGAATCTGACGACCCCACAGAGGAACCAGCCCCTTGTACAAGCTGCATAGGTTTGACATAATTTAGAACCACTCTCTTTTGTCCCTCAGATACAAATGCTAAAATTGGCAAATTACAAAATAGTAAAAGTTTATCTGGCAAGCATACCCAAGAACGCCTTCAGATTTGACAAACTTGGGAAGTCCGTCAGCCAAACCCCTAGCAAAACCAGGCTGAGTCTGAACACGAACCTTCACAGCTTCAAAGGGGCAAAGAGCAACATCTGCAATCACCTCAGCAGATGCAGAACCAGCGAGGTAGATCAGAGTCTTATATTTAGCTGCATACTCTGGTCCAGCAATGTCAGAGTAGTACTTCTTGAAGAATTCGTAGAATCCAAACTTGCAGGCACCTTGGGCACTGTAACCAAGCAGAGTTGGCACCCATCCCCTGAAGAAGCCCCGGAGTCCCTGCTCCTTAAGCAACACACCAAAACCAGACGAGATGCTCTTGTACTTTGCAGGGTCAATCTAATGGATTAATGAACACAGGAGTCACTTCACATGATCCAGTAAGAATATGTGACACTCAGAAATCAAAATTACAATTTAATTCTACATTCAACAACTGGTTGTCATTCATGCCATCGGAATGAACATAAAACACTACATAGTGGTGTTAGAGAATGGAAAATATCTAAGAAAATGACTGCAAATGAAAATGATCACCAAGAACAAATTCTGCAAAGAAGATAATATGAAACTCAAACGAACTACAAAGAGAAGAAAATTGACTGTAGAGTACTCAAAATCAAAAGCCACAGAAGAACTATATAAAATAAGATCCAATTCGTGTAGAACATTGCTGTGGTAGCAAAAAATGCAAGAATCTCATTAAGGGGAGATATCAGTGTTTCAAAACATGCTAAGCTATTTGAGAAGATCCTAAATACAGGTTAATTTTGAGTTGATCTTCTCCAAGGATAGTAAATACTTGATGAAATTATCTATAGAGTGGCTGTTCAGAATACAGATACTTCAGGAGAAATATAAAATCAATATTAGGAGCTATACTCATCTAGCGTAATTCAATCTTACGCTTATCCATGAATTCGCTTTTATAAGAACTTACCTTCATATTCATTTTCAATAAACTGAGATGTCAAGAAATCCTAATCAGTACCTAATCTGACGTGAACTTGTCACCAATACAGAGGATCTGAATCAACAAAGTGATAAAAAGCTGGACGAAGACCTGGACGAGTCTAGCAAAATACTATCAAATGAAAGCACTAATAAATCAAACTCCATAAAATGCAACAAAGAGCAATAGATCCGCCGATGATCCGAACCTAATTCACAAAAATATACACAAATCGATCCAAGATAAACAAAAAATTTGAAAAACTAAATCAACAATCAGACCTCATGAAGATCGGGACGACGCAACCATCACATCAAAGACAACAAAACCGAATAATATCGAGAGAAACTGAAGAAGGGGGTAAACAGATCTGGATTGGTCGGACCTGCATATTACATTTGACGAGGTCAAGAGGAGTGACAGCCATGTGAGTAAGGCCACAGCTGAGGATTCCACCGGCCGTACAGGCGGCGTAAAACTGCGGCGAGTACATCTCGATCTTGCCAGGCTCGCTTGGGGCTGGTATCACGAAGCTCTTCTTCGCACTTCCGCTGGAGGACGACCACACGCCAGGATTTGAATCGTTCGTCATTTTCTCGAGAAATAAGGTCTTGGAAGCAACAGAAGTAGAATAGTACAGAAAGCTTGGGATGAGAGATTGGCGAGAGTTATCAGAGAACGCCATGAGTGTACGGACAAGCTGAAACGAGAGGGGGGGCTCAGGCAAATCACTCAACCTCCCGATCTCTCTCTCTGTCCAAAAGGATATTCCGCTTTCACTGGCCAATGGACACTGCGTGCTTTATACGAAGACCAATGGAATGAGCCGGCCAGCCCTCTAATTCGGATTGTTTTTCTACATATGGTTGAACGCCAGCCCTTAATCGCACACTTAAATTATTTGTTTTAGAGCTCCAATTTGGCCCGACTAACCCAAATCCAATTCGAACCCAACTCTGGCCAACGGACACTGCGGGCTTTATACGGAGACCAATGGAATGAGCCGGCCGGCCAGCCCTCTATTTCGGATTGATTTTCTACGTATGGTTGAACGCCACCCATTAATCGCACTCTTCAATTATTGAGAATTTAAAGGCCGGTCTCGTTATAGACTTATTTAGATATAAATTTGTCAATGAAATTTATTTAGTTTTAAATCTATTTTTTGTCAATTTTACTATTCTAATTATTCCCTGTAAAAATATTATAAACGATCTTTATGAACACTATAATCAGTCATATACATCTCCTTCATAATTGTCTTCAAATTCGGCTATAATTTTCTAAGTCATAATGTTTCCTTATACGAAAAATAAGAAATTGGCATTTATAAAAAATCGTTCATATTCAAATTTCAAACTCATTATATTCCATAAAATATAATTTCAATTTACTTTAGACTCCATCGACAAAATATTAATATTTTAAAAATAACAATAATAACAGACTCAACAAATACAGTAACAAGGTCACTAAAAAAAATAATAACATACTTAAAAAAAAATGGTAACATGGTAAAAAAATAAAAACAATTAGAGATTTAATTCTGTCAAAATAGGCATTACCCTTGTAACCAAAATTCAAAAAAACTCATACATTAGTACTAAATTAAAGTGTTGCAGATTTCGATTTTGTTGATTTGTTGCGCAAGACAATCGAATATTCCTTGATTTTATTACTGTGAAAAAAGTTTATGTTACTGTACATGAACCGAAAAATAGAGTTTAAAATTTCAATGTCTTAATGTTCACAGTTGGTGTTGAGTGTCGTAATTCAACTATCGATTATATGATACTACTCGTCATTTTGTAAATTTTCAATTTGTAAATCGTATTTTCATTAAAATCATTCGAAAGTTGATGTTACTGTAAAAAAAAATATTATCTTGTATTTTGTAAAATTAGAAGTGTTACTGAGTACAAAACTTTTGATATTATTATAAATATTAAAATGTATGTCACATAATATACGTCTCAAAGTTTGCAATTACATGTTAAAATTCACTATAGTAACATTATTGTCAGTATAGTAACATGACTGTATTGGTAACACGATTTTAATTGTAACTTCAATCATATAATAACATGAATGTTACTATATATTAATATTCGTGTTATTGAACTTTGTTACATTGTTCAGCCTCCCTACATTATGCATTATTGTTGTTAAGGAAATTTTATAATCTAATTTTGACTTAATAGACCAATAATTTATTCGTACATTAAGTTTCTCATGTATAACTATCAGAATATATAACTTCCATACAAAATTTCTATTAATTATCATAATATTGAATAAACGGTTTCCATATATAACTTAATCCAGTGTTTCCATATATATTTCAATGATCTAACTTATGTGATTTTCTATAATTAGACAAAAATAACACCGTTAGGGTAATTTTGAGATTTAAAAAATAAGTGGACCTAAATACCTACATATAAATTTAAATACAGACTTACTCTCAAATAAGTTTTTTTCCATAATTCAATTCATTATAAGTCCATCGAGTGGGACTTACCTTCAATTTTTACTAAATTATTTGTTTTAGGGCTGCAATTTGGGTTGACTAACCCAAATCCAATTCAAACCCAACTCAAAAAATTACTATTTCGGTTAAGTTTTTTAAAATTTGGATAGGACAGGCCAAAAAATTCTCAACTTAGATTGAATTTGAGTTGAGGCTTGGGGTTCACGAGTGCAACCCAGGCCCATAACAAATTATTTGAAATCTGGTTCAACTTAAATTCAATTGAAGTTTTTTTTATGTATTAGAAAAATAATGTGTTGTTTAAGTATTTAATATATATATCTATATCTATATCTATATCTATCTATACTACTAATAAAATACACTAACCTAAAAAAATTTTATTTTTCAATTGTACCCTCAAACAATTTCATAAAGTCCATTTAATCATTTTCACTAACATTTTTTTTTTTCTGTATCTTTTATGTAGACCACTTGCTACATTAATTAATGACTAATTCGTCTAATCAGGTCATTACTTCCAGCTTCTATGCCTACTTGTCTAAGAATAAAATGCTTGCAAGAATAACCGTTTGACAGATGCACAAAAAGTGGCTGCATGAATTCCAAAATTAAACATTCATGTGCATTCAATGTATCATATTTAATTTATCAGTGACAATTTGCTTTCTTATACTCTTTCTATTTCTCATAAATCTGTCTTGATTCAGATATATTTTGCAACACTCCATCAGTTACAATTTTGATCACTAGTGGAATCAAGAAGGCTCAACATTATTGCCTTGGCCTTTCCCTAATATATTATCCATATTTCCATCTCATGATTTGCTAAGGTAATTGCACATTAAACATAGCCTGATAATAATTTTTATACTTCCAAAATAGAGAATATCAGAAGAGTACTAAACTTCTCATTAGCAAGTTATCTTTCTTACTCCTCCTCAGTGATATTGCTTGGGGTTTTATGGTAAGTATGTATAGGTTTAAATTTTATAACTTGTATTTGTTGAGTGATTGTCACAACATTTGAAAAATTTTGTCCAGATAACCCGGAGGAAATTGTACTCAAGAGTTTTATGTTCATGATGTGGGGTAACTCAGAATATTGCCTTTGGTAATCTCATGTTTTACTCTTGTTGCGTTCAAAGAAAAAAATAGGACAAAGGACTCCGTCATTAGTGCGGCAGTTGCAGATGAGCGAATTGGAACAACCTCCAATTTTTGCCAAAGATTTTTTTTTCCTCTCTTTCTTTTTGTTTGTTTTCCTACTTTCTCACTTATAGACAGTATTTTCATAAAAATCATAATGAGTGGATGAGTGACCCTCTTTTTTGTTATAAGATATAGTTTGATTTTCAAACGTCGAGCTACAATCTACAACATTTTATTTGACTTATGTGGCAAGAAATGCAGATGAGAAACTTTGTTCTACAATATTATATTAATCATAGATAGGAATAATTAAATTCCTAATAAGCTTTCTACAATTGGACGAAATAATATATATAATATTTCTTTGAATTTCCGAGGGTGTATTTACACTAAAATGCACCTACATGGACATATTATTCATTAAGATATTAGCTTTAACTTACCAAGTCTAGAGATACGTGTTCTCTTTCTAAGTAGAATTCATATTTTCCATCTTGCGTTGCGTAGAATTCATATTTTCCATTGTGCGTGGCTCTTTATGGAAACATAGTAGGCTTTCATTGGAGCTCCCAATTATATTATATTGCTATCAAGTTATGATAGCATCCATTATCAAAGCTTGAGACAATTAGCTATAACAACTTATTTGGTTACCAATATATCCTTCTAAACTTTTATTTTGCTTTGTCTTCAGAATTACTGGAGGACACAAATGGATGTTGAATTATCAGTAGCGGAATCAACTAATAGCCTCACCAACTAAAGTGTTGAGGATCTACTCTCTTAAGACATATGAAAACACATAATTGTAATTTGCATTAATCCACCCTACTTGGTACTTAACTCTCAATGTCTTCAATAGATTACATTCACCTGTGATTCCTTTGATTTTGTAATTGTTGCTGATGGGTTAAGCCCAAATAGTCCAATTTATGTGTTAAAGTCCAACCCCAGTTGAGGAGCCCAACCTCATTTTGATTCCACCAAGCCCAAAACAGTCCGAGACCGGTTAGACTTCCTGCTTAGCACGTCATCAAGAGGAGAGCACGGGAAGCTTATCTGCACCACCAAAGGAAACGGTCCAAATCCACCAAGTCCAAGGCCGGTTAGACTTCTTGCTTAGCACGTCACCAAGAGGAGAGCACGAGAAGCTTATCTGCACCACCGAAGGAAACGGTCCTGTCTTTGACCACGTTTCATGAAGAACTCCCCAACCTCCTCCTTCACTGGAGGAATATCACGCCCCACCAGAGACATACAGAGGAGGAACCGACTACCGGAGATTACTATTTTTCTTTGATTCTCCATTCTCTCTCTCAAAGATTGTATCTCCATTCTCCATACCTTTGAATCAATAAAATACCCGGCAACTGAAGCCATTGAAGAGTGGACGTAGGTCGAATTGACCGAACCACTATAAATTGTGTCTTCTTCAATTTTTTCATTGATTTCATTGCATTTATTATCTACACTTGACGGGTGGTGTGCAAAACCATTTTTGTGCATCATCAGTTGCTAATATATATAAGGATTAGGCTATTTTCACCCCTCAAATCTCTTTTTCCACCCCATTTAATCCTCTTTCTTTAAACTAATAAGTTCATCCCACCTAAACCCACCCCATTAATTACTAAACTCACGCCATCTATATATAAACGTCAAGGTGAAACTGGCTTTACACTCTATAGGGTTCACGTGCAACACACATATGCACTTGCTAGTAAATATAATATATACACAATAAAATAATGTGTTACTCACACTCATCAAGAACCTTTTATAGCACTAGAGGGAGTGCAAACTCCCTTTTTCAACTGATGGGGGATATTGAATGAAGAATTAAAGAAGATGTTCAAGTTAGAATTTCACATCGGTTGCAAACAAAAAAGATATCTCCTTCCTCTTGTATTTAAAGAAGGCAAACTCCCCATGACTTGTGTCATTAATAGGCCTGGTTTTCGTTGGGCCTATGTGAGTCTAATAAAAGAATTAAAGGTATTTATATTTAGGAATTCGAATTTAATCCAAAAATGGAACCCAACTTAATAACTTGGGTCAATCCGAATTTAATTTGAGTTCAACCCAAGCTCGAGCAGGTAGTATTGAGTTAAGGTTGGAGTTTTTGTACCTCGGATTAGGTATGGGTTAACTCTCTAATCTGCTCAATCCGCCCGAGTTATACCCCTACTTTGTTTGGGATTCACACCCCCTCTAATATATTATCTCTTTAATTCTCTTCTTGACACATTATCTATCACTGATAAGTGAGGGACTTGCCTACTTTGTAGACAATAGCTACTTAAATATATAGTAGATGATCCAT